GGTAAATCCGAGTCAGTTTGTCCAACTCCTCGTCCCAAAACTCAGTGCCCGTTAGTCGTAAACTTCTGATGATCAAACTCCTCAGTATTCTGATCTTCAGTCTGTAGCTATGGTAATAGTTAAAATTAAGAATTATTGCCGCATAGTAATTCTTTCTGTATAGTCTCCTCATGAGTGTCCCGTTGGAGAGCAGGACTTCAATATACAGAAAAGGTATTCGTTCATTCTCCTCCACCACCATTTTGAATTTGATTCTTTCATCAAGTTGGTTTATAAAATTGAGAAATTCATCCAAATTTTCCTTACCACGCAACCAAAGTCCAAAGTAGTCGTCCAGGTATCACATAAGCACTCTTGGTTGCAGTACTGAATTCTAGAATTCCCTTTCCAGCTCATAAATATTGCCGCTGAATGTAAAATATGTGGTACTTACTGTCAGGTTGATCAGTCATCTTAACGACTCCTTCCATATTCGTCCTGCCTTCAGGATATCCTATTCTCGCTCCAATATCTCCAGCAAGACATTTACCGCCTTCTCATCTGAAATGTTTGTGTAATCGAAAATTACAAACGCTTCTGCCCAGACCAGCCCAATGTTCTGGATTCTTTGAGAGAGTTCATATGAATTCTTAAAGGTATTCGAGAGTCTGTCATTTACTTTATTGAACTTCAAGCTAATGAATTTCGCTAGTTTGTGTGTTGCTCCATGTCTGCTGTTGACTATTAATTCTAGCGGATTTCCTTCCTTGTGTATCTTGGATAGTCCGTAGGCTCACTGACCATATCCATATATGTGTTATAATAGCCGTTTGTACATATATTCCTAAATTGCATCATCAAAAGTGGGATATGCACTACTCATGAGTATATCGAGAAGTCTCAAAATCAAATCATAATTATATCATTTATGTTTACCCTATTTCATTTAAGGTGATGAAAGATTGGTAGTTCAATTTTCCTACAATGCTATGAGTAAAGCTGACGTCTCGAAAGCCTACTAGAAAAAAATCTACGAATCCTCTTACAGAGCTTGACTGGCTTCCTTAGTAGAAATGCTTATGGATAAGTATACCAGATCACTACTTGTCGATGCTAGAATGTTGAATTGGAGGGAAACATACGTGGCTGGTGCAAGCCCAATTTTGAGGTTGGCTTCAGCGCCCGATCGCGTCTCATAGGCCTTCCCTTTGAGCGTCTGGCATTGTCCGGCAAGAAAGCAGGCCAACAGCCACTGGACCAACAGACGTGGGAATATATTTTCCTCCAGCAGCCCGTCCAGTGCCAACTCGAGATCATTCTCCGCCTTCACAACCGAAAGTGGCCTCGACTGCAGGCTAGAGGCGCCATCAGTCAGTCGAGTATAATGAATATACGCCCTCCAGGCGAGAGATGGCCAGGGTTGTGATGAATGGGGAAGAGTTTTAGCAGCCATACTGGATGAGGAAGAGGAAGAGGAAGAGTGCACTCCAGAAGAGCTGGCTGGCAGAGGAGAAGGCGAGGAGCCAAGTG